CATAATCCCTTGGAAATTCCATTTACTGCAAAATTCCAATTGGTCCACAAGCACGATGGCAATCGAGGGCTGTTGACCTGTCTGCCGCTCGTTGTATCTACTGTAACGGTGTTATTCATAAAACTTAAGAAGCCTTTATAAGCCCACTATAACAGAGCTATAAAGGCTTTATAAAAATCTCTATTTATAAACGCTCTATAAAGCTCTTATAACTGTTCATTAGCAATCAGTTCTATAAACCCTCTATAAACCTATGATAAACCTCTGATAGTGAAAAACGTTATTCATAAACGCTCTATAGCGGTCCGATAAAGTTAAAACGTCAAATAGCGAGCCTATAAAGTTAACAGAGCCAACTCCCTACTTTAGCGGCATTTTAACCTAAAAATTGTGAAATAATTATTCCGTTAATTAATAAAATGGAAGCAATTACGACTATTTCTACAATTAATTTAATTGATATGTCAAGAAATCGTCAAAAAAAAAACATTTAAAAAAAAAGTCAATCCATTTCTTTTACCAGATAAGTGCTTTAAATATAAATACCGATTCAATAAAAGTACTGCTCGATATATAATTTCCTTGGTGTACGATCAACTAAAACAAGATCCCAGAGGTGGTGCCGTTTCTCCAGAGTTGCAAGTATTAACTGCTTTGAGGTGTTGGGGACGAAGAGAGGTAAGTTTTTTTACAATACATTCATCAATCATATATTTATATATATATATATATAGGATAATGTAAGTTTTCATACAATTCAAACTCATAATTAATCTTGATATCTTTCATTTCATAGGTTCAGGATGATTGTGCTGATCTTCATGGACTCAGTCAACCCACAGTTAGTAGGATATGTAGTAGGGTGGCAAAGGCAATTGCTCAGCTTGCTTCCACTTTTATAAAAATGCCAGAAACTGTCACAGAGGAACGGTCTTGTATGACAAATTTTGAAAGTCTGGCTGGTTTTCCAGGGGTTACAGGGGCTATAGACTGTACCCATATTAAAATTAAAAAAACAGGTGGTGATGCAGCCCAATATTACATAAATAGAAAAGGATATTATTCTTTGAATGTGCAGGTGATAAAATTATGTATTATGTGTAAAACATATCTATATTGTTTGATTAACTAATTATCATTACATAGTATAAAACAAAGTCACATTAAAACTATACAATGCATGTTGAAGGGGGGTTATAATAGATTCAAGAGGAAGGTTTATATATATATATATGTACTAGTAATGTATAAAGTACTTAATTATTTTGATTTTAGGTTGTCTGTGATGCAAAACTTGTAATAAGAGATGTTGTAGCAAGATGGAGGGGCAGTACTCATGACAGTAGAATATTTACTGAGTCAATTATAAAAGAAAGGTTTAATAATGGTCACTTTAGAGGACGTTTACTCGGTGACTCAGGGTATCCACTTCTGCCCTACCTTTTTACACCAATTTTGCATCCTGTATGTAGAAAGGAAGAAAGGTATAACTCTGCCCATATCAAAACACGGAATAGTGTGGAAAGATGTTTTGGAGTGTGGAAACAGAGATTCCAATGTTTACTACATGGATTAAGTGTATCGCTGGAAAATGGAAAGGCAGTTATAGTGGCTTTAGCTGTGCTCCACAATATCGCTATTAGTAGGAATGACGATATATTAGGTAATTCTTTTAATGAAACACTACTTTATTTTTTCAATATTATTTAATAAACACAATTTTTACAAAAAATTTACTATACAAGTTTCTGTACAAACACTAATTTGTTTACTATGAAATGATTATCAACTTCAGTGCATTCATAATTTGCACTGTTACACAATTATTACAACTAGCGGTTGCCTGTGACTTCATATGAAAATGTATTTTTGTAAAAATCTTCCAGAATTAATTATTTTTGAAGCCTCACAGGTCTGCTATGAATATGTAACTTTCAAACTATTTATCCAGATTATGTGTAAAGGACAAAGTTTTAATGTAGTTTATACATTGTTGTTATTTATATCTTCTGATATATGATGCAGTCACAGTCATCCATTGAATATAGTTATACAGACATGTTTCTAATCCTTGTTGTTTAAGCTGTGTTTTGATAAGTAGCAATACATTATATTTTTCAATAAATTATGGGCCTGTAAAGTAATAATATTATTAATTTCAGAATATGAGAATCTTGAAGAGGTTACCATTCAATCACAACATCAAATTGATGAAGGAATGGGCAATGGTGCTGTAAGAAGACACTCTCGATATATTTTGGATACATTTATACAAAATAATTTTTAATAAAATAAATTATGTTAATTTACTTTGTTTACTATATTTTATATTTAACTTGTTACAAGTTGTCTACATACTTGGATTGTTTTTCTTTCTATAAAATATCAATTTTTGTTGTAGAATTTCATACTCCAAGTCTAAATTTCTTGCTTTCTTTCTTTCATTATCCATTTGTATATTATGTAATTCATTTTTGTTCTTGATCTCTGTATCAGCTATTTTTTGTATATAATTGTTTGTATTTGTGAGCTGTATAATAAAAAAAAAAACAATTATTTAATTATAAAAAATATTTGTATTTTATTGTGTATAAATTTATTTGGGTACCTTTCTTTTTTTATTACATTTCTTTCCTTCATTTGAAATATATTCTTTGGTGCTGCCACTTTGAGACTACAAAAGAAATAACAACATTTATATATATTAAACACCATATTATACCAACCAATTTAATAAATCATATCAAACATCTCTTTATAATCTTTGGTCCCAGTCATTTAGCACACAAAATATATTTAAAAGTTCTATATTACTTACATTTTCAATAATTTCATCAAGATCCAAAATAATTTCTGGCATCTCCGGTGCTTTTTCATTCAGTTTTGGTTCTCTAGGTTTGTCTGGAATCTTTTAATTACAACATGTACATTTATAAAAATAATATATATATGTTATATAATATACATTATGCTGAGTTCATTGATGTCATGATATAATAGATACTACATATTATATATTACTTACAGCGCTTACAGGTACATCTATTTCATTTATCTGAAATATGAACACAATGATTAATGAACCTACACTTACTACCTTTACTTTTTATATTATATGTAATGAAAAAATAAAAAATAGGTTACATGATCATCTGGAATTCCTGTTTTAGCGTCAGAGTCATATAGATTGGTGTCCACGTAAAACTCCTGCGGTAACCATGCCAATATGTCTGTACTGTCCACTGGAACAGTCACAGTAGGTGGTCCTCCACCAGTTTTATTCAGAGATCGCCTCTGGTCTGCTAAATTTTTCTTTTTACATATTTTGATGACTCCCCACTGATTTTATTTGTTGCAATGTGCGTCTGCTACCTTTGCACATTGCATTAAAACTGAAAAATATATTGAAGTGTAAGTACATGAGCAATAACAATTCACATATAAAATTATACTAAGCATGCAAGTTACTCTAATCTACGGGCTAGCTTCTACAAATAATAAATAACCTATCCATAACTTCCAGCCATCCTTTCTTTTTACAGTTGTTGGTATTCGTATCCGTATTCTTATTTTCTAGTACGGCGACACGTTCGCGGATCAATTCCAACAATAAATTCTATCAAAAATAAGGTATGCATTAAATGAATGTAATAAAAAGTTAAAACAAGTGAAATTCAAAGTCGTACATAAAAAATAATTTACTTGATCCAAAACTGGACAAATTAACAAATATTGATAAGTAAACACAATCTTACCTTGTCGTCTTCCAACCAATTTTCGCTTCGTGCTCTCTTTTGTTTATCCATTTTAAAATTTACTAGACAATGAAATCCGTAATATGTAATCAATCCGTTAATTCTAATTCTAACGTAACTATATTAAACCAATCGTAAATTATAACATGCAATTTTAAATAAAACAATCGTTTTGACAGAACCAGTGTTGCCAACGATGTTTTATTGAATCCACTATATAGCAAAGAAACCTCGAGTTTTACAAAATATTTAAATCAATATTAATGAATTAATAAAACTACTTGAAACCATTATATTAAAAATTTGCATAAAAATACATGCATATTTAAACCAAAAATCATTGTAATATTTAAAAACTATGTAGAAATACTTCTATCTTCCCTTAACTTTATTAAATAGAAATACAATTACAATAAAAAAATACAATTTTATATATATTCAATAGGAAAATGTATAAAAATGTATTAATTTACATAATTTGTTCAATACTGGAGGAGTTAATTCTGCTAGATTTAGTGGTGAAGCAACTAAAATAGCAACACTGATTACGTCACCTGCGTATATGGTAAAACAGTCCAACGTCAAGATTGCAACATAATGATAAAAACAGTCCTATAAACCTCTATTAGTTAGCGAGGCTTTATAATAGGTTTATGAATAACGCACTTCTATAAACCTTCAATAGCGCTAATGAATGTTTTAACTAATGAGCTCTATAAACCTTCAATAAGTTTTTTTATGAATAAGACCGTAAATATTTAATATTCTTACCTATAATTTTGGTATTTCAATGGCGAGCTTGTATTTGCAGAATTGGTTTGTAATTTGATATATTATTTGTTGCTTTCTACCGATCAATGAACAGTTTAGTATTTTCCAGTGGTTCGACAATACTTTTCGGCCTTGTATCCTTGTAAAATGGCGCCTCGCCCGTCGTTGTTATTATTATTACATTCGGAGCAAACTTCGTGACGATCTCCACTCTGCCCCCCTCCATCCTTCCACTACACCGCGCCCCGCGGATGCGTATCCGATTGTCGCGGCTGGCGTTTACAACTTGTCAAACTAGTTAGGTTATTTATACGAAATGAAATTAATAAAATAGTTATCATGGACTCATTTCATATCACGTAATTTGTGAGTTTAAACGATAATAATTCAGAGTGTTCTATAATCAATAACATTGTAAGCAAAGTGAAAATAAAGTGACCGAGTCATATGTAAAGACGCCATTTTTCTTTACAGATGTCAGCTGGGTCACAAATTCAGATGGCACCACAAACTACTGTCAACACGGGGCAACCACTACACAGTCAGGACTCCAATATGAGCACAGGTAAATTGTGATTTAGTGATAAAAGTGCAAGTTTGTGGTTGGATTCGTGTTCATTATTGTGAGTGCTTGATACATGCCGGGCTTCTCGTTGGCCTAAAGTTTATTTACAAATTGTGAGACTTCGTAGAACACCTGTGAATAACAGATATTAAAATCAAACTAGTATTTGTGACGTCATTTTGTCGTGTATAATGCCGGATCGGAACTGTGAAAGTGCTGTTTTTCATTTCATACAAGACAATTTTGTGCCAAAATGCATGACTATAAAAGTGGAGTTAACGTAAACCACGTCGGCCTACTGAGCTCCTTGTCAAAAAGTGAGTCAATGATCATGATTGTTTTAGTTAATAGACACGTTTGTTTTGCTAATAAGTATTATTATATATTTGTTGCATAAATCATATATAAATTTTGATACAAAAATCTGCAAGAATGGACAATAGGTAATATTTAAACTAGTCGATAAGCCTCTGATATTGCAGAACAGTGAAATGTTTGCTGATAAGTTAAATGCCTATAAAAATAACACAGTCATTGAATATTGTGTAGTTTGTTCCTCATTCGTCCAATTTCAACCTTATATATATTTTTTAGTCAATATTGACATGTATTTAATGATATTTGAAATTGTTTAACTTTATATAATATATTGATCTGTACTGATCTATAAATTAAAACCTTCAACTTTAGGTTTTGTAGCATGGTATGTAGATGACACAATATTGACATACTCATATAGTTCTGTTACACCATTCAAAATAGTAACCTAAGTGTACTTACCACGGACTTGTAGTTCTGTATCAGGTGATCTGGTTCCTGGTGTCTCTGGTTCCTTACTGTAAGTCCCACATGATGTGGTTGTAGCTAGACTCATTTTGAATTTATTGTGTCTGTCTGTCTGTGAACTGTCTGTTTATATCTTACAAATACTGTTGCAAATTTCACTTTAACCGTCTAACTGTGAATCTACATTTTATATGATTTCTGTGTTTTTCCCCTCCACACTATGCTCAAAAGCAAAATATAATTATATAATTTTATACTGAATATTAATTAGATTGTAAAATTAAATTAAGCATGGCATCAGTGTACAAATTTCATACTGTTTTTATTAATTGCTACATAATTTGCAGAAATTGTATAAAACAAATAATAACAAAAATTTGTAATTTAACATTGTTATTTTTTTCTTATTGTTTATTGGTGCAATTTAGATGTGTTCTATTTAATATCAATTGTAGTAATAAGTTTACTATGGCTATAAACATTAAGGTGACTTGGTTCAACACTTATGTTCAACTACTTACTGTAGTGTATGTTCAAAAATATTTAAAAACGAAGCTTCTAGTATATTTTTTTGTTTGCTCATTTGTTACAATGTTGTATGTATATAACAGGTTTAATTCAGTGCTTAAAACAAAAATGATCTTGTTTTTGTTTATTCTTTGAAAGAGGACATTTACAGGCCTATGAGACATATAACTTGATCTACTTAGCGTTCATTATGTATGTGGATGTGACATGCTCTATTCAATCATAGATCATCATGTTTATGCATGAAACCCCCAAAAGGCATGCAAGACTAAAGAAAGCAAGGAATTGCTTTAGGAATATTTCCTTACAATTCTATTTCTGTATTTAAAGCATTATTTAATCATGTAACTGCTGCTTGCTTTAAGTAACTATTTTAGAAGGTACTTATTTATATCAAAATATATTTAGATAATAGCAGGGGTCAGTGTTAGAAAGAAACATGGCAGCAACTGTAATGATTGGACAAAAACAGCACAATTATTATGATAATAATGTGTAATTACATATTAATGTAATATATACTTGAAATTAATGAAGTACTGCTACTATAATATTATAAATGTATGTCTGTCCGTACATTCAGTCTGTCTTAACTGTTTGTTACTTTTGATCATCCAAACAGCTGATACATCTTTGATCTAAAAAAAAGTAGGGGAAGTTATAGTAATCAGCTATTTACATTTATAGAACCCACTGCTCATATAAATATAATTACAATAACTAATTCTATATTATTCAAAAGTCCATTATTGTCTGTTTGAGATTTACAGTTAATGATTTTTCAGGGTCATCGCATAGTGATAAAGAAGTTGATGCTTTGACTCCCGAAAAGTCTGCTGCAATGCGAGGCTCGACTGCAGGTCCAGGCGCTGCTCTTGTACCACCAAGTGGTGCAACACCTACTATAGCTATGCCAGAAAGAAAAAGGAAACGAAAAGGTAATATTTTATTCGCTAAACAAGACAAAGAAGCAATACCTCTTAACTTGTAATTTCACTGATTATCTCTATATATATGACACTCTTCAACTGAAGCACAGCTGGCTAATCAAACAGCATGGTATATATGGGTTCTTTCCTTTAGTATCAGTCTTTGTATCAGTTGTCTAGTCTCATAACACAAGCTCCGATTAGCTTGGGACTAGATGGCGCTGTGTGAATTATGCTGCTAAAATATTATTATGCTTTATACTTTTTAGATTATTATGTTATATGTTCTCTTTTTGATGGAGTGATGGACTTGTCTTTACCGGTGAAAATCACCAAACAGTGAGAACTATAAAAAGATGATGATGCCTAAGATTTTTAATTGGAAGACAAAATTTAAAAATTCTTATTATGTTACTATATGACATTCCAGGAGAAGAGGGCGTTGGCGGAGGTGGGGGCGGCGGCGGCAAACAGAGGCATAATTCTTCAGACAAAAATATTCGAGAATACTTCTCGAAACATCCCTCATCCAGTCCTGTGCGACACACTGGCGCCAAGTCACCATCACCTCAGGGCGCTAATTATCCTATGGTAATTATTTCTATTTATCTCATGTATCAAATATGAAATATCCGAACAAATTATGACAAAAATATTACCGCCTATTGATTTTTTTCTAAAAATTAAGTTGCACTAATAATGGGTTAGTTACGAAATTAATTGAATTATTTATTTGAAATCTATCTATAGTGTTTAGAAAAATTACTTTAGTGGTACTGGGTTTACGATAGAATATTCTAGACGGTAAAGTTTTAAAACGTAACACCATTATTTTAAGTATTTGCATTGTTTTACTGTAAGATAAGTCGCATATTACTCTGCAAGATTGTCAAAGGGGGAAGGTCATTATATTTTTACAAGATGCATGAAGTAATCATTAAAGGCGTTTGTAAAAGAAAATAGTTATACTTATTCATTTTATCACATTCCGGATTTATGAAATTGGGGTATTTTCCATAATTTATAATTTTGTGTTTATTCTCTGGTAGCTTCTGAAAACTTTGGCCTTTTTAAAAATAATTTGTATATGTTATATTTAATGTAAAAACAAATGTTCATTGATTTTGTTAGAAATCTCATGTGTTATTAATACTACATAATTTGTTATAACAAAATGTTAAGTTGAATAATACCAACTTGTTTGCATTAACTGCTTGTTCTGCTATTCCAATAATATAGCTTTTACACATTATTGAATTTGTCCGAACTAAAAATCTGATGCTAGGTTGATCTTAATTCCTAGCATGAATGTATTTAATTAACATACAAATGGACATTTCTACAGAATATATATGTATTTGTGTAGTACCCACCGTCACCTTCGTCGTTACTGTCCACGGGAGCAGATTTTTTACGTTCTGCTTCTCAGCAGCGACCCCATACATCTGTTAAACAGGTAGATATTATTATTTTAATAATAATCGCCATTTTATTTCTTTAATTAACATTGTCTGCTAATTATAACACTACAGTGTTATAATTACTGAATAAATATAAAATAGTTTTGATTTGAATAAACCGTATTTTACTGGTGATAATAATAAATTATTTTTAATAACTTAATAATAGTTCAATATTTTTATCACATTCTATTGTTATTCGTATTACATGTTCATATATAGAAAAAAAATTGTAAAATGCTAATTTACCATTTATATTTTTTATTATATTAATTGTGGGTTTATCAGTATAGTATAATACTAAAATGAATTTAAAATTTGATGGTTTATATAGGTAGGTTTATATTCAACATATATCATTTGTGTGTGATACATTTCATAATCTGAATCATTATTTTGCTTTATACTAATTTTGTAACCATTATAATGTTTTTAATTTAGTTTATATTAAATATTATGTTAATTTATATTGGAGAAATCTAAATTACTGAAAAAAAAATTAACATCACTTGAACTTGTATTCTTTTTTATTTGTATTTTAAAAAAAATAATAATACCGTAGAATGAATATTGTCAATGCTATCAAAATTTTTAATATCATATTTAAAAGCTCGAAAGTTAGTTATTCTAAAAATAAAATTTTAATGTTCTATTTTTGTTATGTACTGATTGTAACAGTAATGTTTCCTTTTAGGCATCATTTTGGTTTGATCCTGCAACACAATTGATTTATTTTAATTTCTTCCAATGAAATGATTATTTCACACATTAAATATTTCTTATTGCTAACAAAACAGAATGTATAATATTAATAAATTTACTATCTGTTGTTATTTGTTTGTTTAAAGGTTCAAACAGAACTGACATGTCAGAGGATACAAGAGTTAGAAACTCAAGCGTCATCTGACTTAGAAGTAAGAAATAATAGAATAGAAGAATTAACAAGAAGTAATGAAGAACTGAAGCATCAAGTGCAAGCACAGAGCAAGGTCAATATCCACAAAATAGCTGTATTAGCTCTCAGATTAAAATAAAACAACTACTTAAAGTTGGAGTATTGTGTGCCTTATAGCACTGGCATCTCGATTGTGTTATCAGTTTACGTTCGGGGTATCTAAAAATTACCTAAAATTACATTGTTATTGTTGTTGGTTGGATACAAATGTGGGGTACATTCCATTATGTAGAAGAATTTTTAGATAGATATAAAAAATAATATGTTTTTAGTAGCCTTGCCATAATTGAGTACGATATTTATACTAACATTCATGTATGCAAATGGCAGGGGTCAATCATGTATGAATAAAAAGTGTAACAAGAGAAGGGTGGATTGAAGGATGCTCTAGTGATCAAGATTATAGATATATATGCAATGGCGTAAATGTAGATTGTAATTGAATTATTTAATTTCAGGTTATAGAGCAACATAAATCACACATAAATAAGTGTATAGACGTTGTTAAAAAGTTGTTGAATGAGAAAAGTACTATAGAAAAGAAGGAGGCACGGCAGCGGTGTATGCAGAACCGGTTAAGGCTTGGTCAATTCGTCACACAGCGTGTCGGTGCCACCTTCCAAGAGAATTGGACTGATGGATATGCATTTCAAGAACTTACAAGGTATACATTTATACTATTAAATTTGTTACTACTATTTACAGTTTCTTTTATAAATTTTTCGACATGTTTTATCATGGTAGACTTGGTAAAAATCGTCTCTGTCTCATCTGTTTTGGCTATGAAGCCGCTTGCTTTGTATGCTGAGTATTAATTTGAGAAGTGTATTATGGCAGTTAAATTATAGGGTATGGAGGTCATGATACATTAGTCTTCAGGGTGCAACACATAAAAACATGTCACATGACGCTATTATGTCCATGTATAGCTGACGCTTACCACTGAGCTCCTTGGTCTTTCTAATCACGTTGAAAGAAGCATTGAAAATATGCAGCAGCAAAAATATATAATAAAAAAACATATTAGTTATGAAAATGATAGAAATAACTTCAACATTATAATTAATTAGCAAGTAAACAATTTCATTCATTATTTCAAGTGCTTCTAAGGGCATTTATTCAATTACATCAATTTAAAGATTCCTGTACATTTTATCAGAACGTTTTCAGAACCTTAAAGTGGTTGTAGATCTTAATTAACTAGACGGACGATGGGTAGATGTTTATGATAAAGCCCATGTACCTAAATAAATTAATTTAATTTGTATTTTACATTAAAATATTGAATGCGGTAAAACATTTAGGCGGCAAGAGGAGATAACCGCTGAAAAGGAAGAGATCGACCGCCAGAAGAAGCTGCTGTTCAAGAAGCGGCCCTCGAACAGCGAAGGTGGTGGCGGGAGAGGCAAGCGGACGTCGAGTGCGTCCACGCCCACCACGCCGCAGCCGCCGCCGCTGCACAACGGCACCGACGCGCCCACCTTCCTCAAGCCGGATCCGCTACCCAGCATGACCTGGCAGGAGTACTACGAGGCCGATGAGATATTAAAAGTTAGTTTCCTATTTGGTATATTCATTACGGGTCTCTGACAGAGCTGGTGCCGCCTTATTCTTTGATCAGGACCACGCGCAATCGTGAGGGGTGTATTTTACTATTTTATTTTATCAAATAAATAATAATAATAATATAGTTGGTAGAAAAATTATTTCATAAAAATTATTTAGATTTAAGTATGGGTCCCATTCTGTATCTTATGTACACTGCAGACATACCAACATCGGATAATATATTATCTGCTACGTTTGCCGATGACACTGCCGCACTTTGCAACAATGAAAATCCGAACATTGCGTCCATGGTTTTGCAGAGTCACCTGAGTAAGGTACATGAATGGATGGAAAAGTGGCGCATTAAAGTGAGTTCCAGCAAATCAGTACATGTCACCTTTACCCTGAGAAAAGACAACTGCCCACCGATTAAACTTGGAGATGACATTTTACCCCATCAAGATTCGGCAAAATATTTGGGCATACATCTTGATAGGAAGCAAACGTGGAAAACACACATACAAAAAAAAATCGCGATCAATTGAATGCACGGCTCAGAAACCTGAACTGGCTGACGGGCAGAGGATCATATGTAACCATGGAAAACAAGATACTCATTTATAAAACCATAATAAAGCCAATCTGGACATACGGCATCGAGTTATGGGGATCAGCAAAGAATTCCAACATAGAGATTTTGCAACGGTTTCAGAATAAAGCACTCAAAACCATAACTGCTGCACCTCTATTCATTAGAACAACAGAATTGCATGAGTACACGGGAATGAGAACAATCAGAGAAGAAATAGAGCACAGAACAAGAGTATACAGAGATCGTATAGGGGCGCATACCAATATCCTTGCAACAGCACTACGAGACCCATTGCAATGCAGAAGGCTTAAGAGACTCCATGCATGGGATCTTATTCACCGATGAGACGGTTTCCTCACTGGAGGTATAGTTCTCTCCCGTCAACAGTCCCACAACCAATCTGTTAAAGGCTTTGTAAGCCGATTGCAGGATTAAAAAAAAAAAAAGATTTAAGTATATCGCGCGAACTCTCTCGCGTGAAATCACAAAATTATAATTATTTTTCTACCTACGCCAATGAACGTGGCTTAGCTAGGTTGATTGTTTTCAGAGCGGAGCTAGTTATAATTTAAATAAATCTGACACAAAGAATTGCAAAATGTTGTTTTTAGCAATTCAAATTGAACATTAATTTGTTCTGTTAATCAGTTTTCTTAATGTACATATCACAATTTGAATTCCATGGTTTGCTTTTTAACCAATGCTTGAATTAGTACATGAATTATATTATGGTTCTATTTATCTTTGGTTAATCTGTATTCAAAATTACATTAAAACCCTATTTCCAGCGGCACATTTATTATATTAGATGGCAACATAGGTAATGTCAAATTTGTCTCTAGGATTAAAAAATAAGACTAGTTAGTTACACATATTCACCTAAAACCGTTAAGTTACCGTTTTTACGCGTCCATAATTGATTATTTTGATATTTCTAATATGTCACATTTTTTTTTATAATCATAACATAACTTTATTATTACAGCTAAGACAAAGTGCATTAAAAAAGGAAGATGCAGATTTGCAGCTAGAGATGGAAAAATTAGAACGGGAAAGAAATCTTCACATTAGAGAACTAAAACGAATACACAATGAGGATCAGAGTCGGTTTTCACAACATCCTGTACTTTCTGAGCGGTAAGTTATTGTATAGTATACTAGCTGACTTCAGTCAAGCAAATCTGTGACACGAGGATTTGATGCATAATTAGTCATCTTTTTATTAATCAAAACGATTCAAGTAGGTAGTACATTAGTGGTACAGGATTAGTACCTAAACTTTAAATCGCCACATTTAAATGAATCACTACCTGCTATAATTAAAATAATACTTTATAAATATGTAGTTTACCATTCAATTATTTATGTTAAGACTCAAAACTATGTCCATCGAAACGATGGACGACGACCATTTTTTAATATATATTTTGTAGAAAATAATACAACAACATATCTTATATAAGATATGATTATAAACAATTTAAATAATTGTGCAATGGATGACTCAATCAATACATAAACGATATTAAATATTCATTCACCTAGAATAGCATAATAGAAAGCTGCATTATCAAAGTATATATATATTTATTTCCAAAAAATTCACTGGCAACTTCGTATGCATCACATTTTCCTCATTTCTGCAACATTTCTCGCTTCTATTGATTGTAGAGTGATGTTATATGACCTGTAGCCTTGTTGTATAATGGGCTATCCAACACTAAACGAAGTTTGAAAATCAGACCAATATTAGTACCGGAGATTATCCTGAACCCCCAAACATACAAACGTCACCTAAATAAAATTTATTTTTACTATAATTGCTGTGTGCAGTGGTTAAAAAATAAATAGTATTTTTTTACGATGAAGTAAACAAAACTAATATCTATCCAGGTATCTGTTATTGATGCTACTCGGAAAAGGCGGGTTTAGTGAGGTGCACAAGGCGTTTGACCTGCGCGAGCAACGGTACACTGCCTGCAAAGTGCATCAGTTGAACAAAGACTGGAAAGAAGACAAGAAGGCCAACTATATCAAGTGAGTCCGTACGAGGAAACATTCTATTTACTTTGTTATGTTTATGTCAGTGTGTAGTTACTTTTCTGTAACAGAATATTCAATAATATTAAAAATGGCTTTGATTTTGATTAAAAATTCTAACTTCTGTGTTAGGAAGTTAGGATTCTGTATAGGGTTCCATGGCCTTCCTCGAATATTCCGTCATTTATGTTGCCACTGCTTCTGTATTTGATGTTTAGCTTATTGATTAATTTGATTCAAGTACGCTAGCTAAAATGTCGAAGGACATAGCGCCTGACTACACTTTCTAGACTTGTTTAATTTATTCAGGAGCACTTTTTTTTTATTTACATTATATTAAAATATTTGAGCAAATTGCATTTTATCTAGAATTCTGTTTGTGCATGAGATGTCATTTATTTTGTACAAAGTTGATGTTTACTAGTAGTTCAATTGCTTCTTCATTTTGATTCAATTTACTATCTTATCATATTTCAGTTCTGATTATCAATGAAATAAGTCACAAAAATGTTCATGTTTTGAACAGAATGAAATAATATGGTATTCATTATCTTTAATAACAATCTTTGTATTATCAAACATTCACACGAATAAGTAGAATAATCAAGGGTTTTGTGGCCTATATATGTTTTGGGGAACATATTACATGTGTAATATAAAAGATATTTTACAATTTATATGTAAAAACTAACAATAATTAATAACTAGACTTGTTTGACTGCTAAGTAAATAATAATAATGAAAGCCCTTATTACAAATATATACATGCCTTTAGGCAGTAACTGTGGTCCTATTGGTTTATATTTTATATATTTTTTTTGTCTCCACATCTGAATGTCAACATTCTGTCATGATGTGACATAGGCCTCCTCCAAGTTTTTCCATAGCATTCGGTCGCTTGCACTCTGAGAGTCTAACCTTTTCCTGCTACCTTCCTAATGTCATCTTCCCATCTTTTTATCCTCCTATGTGTCCTCTTGGGTACCACTCTGTAATGTCTTTTGTCCATTTAGGTATTTTTTCCATAATAATGTGGCGTGTCCACCTCCACTTCATATATAAGTAAATAGACGAGTGTAATTTGGTGCATTGATACTGATATACAATAAATTATTGTTTCTCCGCGTATCAATACAAAGAATGATCCATAATAAATTCAGGTTTCAGATTATTCACTATGCAATGACGAATATTATAAGATTTACATTCATCAGATCACTGACTTACAGTTTCATCAATCATACAGAGTAATATTTGTTTTATTGCAGACATGCGTTACGGGAGTACAACATACACAAAGCACTTGACCATCCCCGAATTGTGAAATTATACGACGTGTTTGAAATTGATGGCAATTCGTTTTGTACAGTTCTGGAATACTGCAACGGACATGATCTCGATTTTTATCTCAAACAGGTAACTCAATTATGTACGAAATAATTTAATTTCTGTGTATTATTATTAGTTTTCTGTCAGAAGATGCATTTGTGAAGTTTAAGTTATTTTATTGCATTGCATGAATATAAATATTCATGCAAATGTTTTAGTACTAATTTAACCATTCCAATGATAAGCTCGGTAAATGGGCTTGGTGATTAATGTAATAAGATGTCGTAACCTGACCTTGTCTTTCATAAATGGAATTATGCCCATGCGACTTTATACAAACTTGTCCTTTTCTGGTAATCTCTTAACATTAATTTAATTTGATTTTGATATTCAGTAACTTTCTTTTAGATATATTTTTATAGAACACATTTGTAATTGTTACTTCTAATTAATCTAAACAACATTCTTGTTTCTTGACAATACAATAAAATGCCTCAATTACAAAAGAATGGTTAGATTATATTGGAGACCATAACAGAAAAAATCCTTTTGAACGCAATAATACTGTTTATCTATTTAACAGTATTCTTGTTTATTAAAACTTTTCAACTGAATTAAATTGGGTAGGTTCTCGAAACGCGTGTTTTTTTTTGAACTTTCTTTTAATGATTATTTGATGCTGCTTTTTTAAAATTCCTAGTGTGTGAATGTGTAAATATGAAAGTGAGTGTTTTTTACTATTAGTATAATATATATCATATCTATGTGAGCCAGGTCAAGACCATTTGGAATAAAATTATGAGTGTAATATTTTTTTTACCACAGATATTAACCATTAAGGTGTCAGGGCGTATAAATTATGTAATTTTTATATAAATTTCTCAAATTATTTCATATTTAACTAACTTTCGCAGCATAAAACGATTCCTGAGCGTGAGGCGCGTTCGATCGTAATGCAAGTGGTGTCCGCACTAAAGTACTTGAATGAGATAAAGCCACCTGTGATCCACTACGACCTGAAGCCAGGGAACATTCTTCTGACGGAGGGCAATGTGTGTGGCGAGATCAAAATTACTGATTTCGGTCTCTCGAAGGTGATGGACGAGGAGAATTATAACCCTGATCATGGAATGGATCTCACGAGTCAGGGCGCAGGCACTTATTGGTATGTAACAATGTTTTATGTATTTGAAATTTTTTATTTTTGCATTTGGTAGACATTCTTAATGTAGTCCTAACATAATTTTATGACAAATGTTTAAACTAGGATATATTAATAATTTTATAGGTATGTTACTATTTTTATAAATATGAATTTTTTAATTTTTTTTTCCTTCACCACCATACAGATGGAAAATTATAACATATTTTGTCCTAATTCAAGCAGGCAAAGTTAGATATTATAAATAATTTCTTAGTGTCAGATCATAATTTCACAATGTAGTGAAAAATATCTCATTTTCACAGCTAAATAACTATAAAGGAAAGTAAAATTAGATGCTATATAAATTTACAAAAGAGTTCTGTGAAGGTTTGCAGTTTGTGACAATTATCTATTAACAAACTCAATGTTTTCGCTACAGGTACCTGCCGCCAGAGTGTTTTGTCGTCGGCAAAAACCCACCAAAGATCAGTAGTAAGGTGGACGTTTGGAGTGTGGGCGTGATTTTCTATCAGTGCCTATATGGCAAGAAGCCTTTCGGCCACAATCAGAGCCAAGCCACCATACTCGAGGAGAATACTATACTTAAGGCGACTGAAGTGCAGTTTGCCAATAAACCTACTGTCAGTAACGAGGCTAAGGTATGGTTATTTTTTTATACTATACATGTGACCAATATATTAAATATCAAAGTAATGGACAAACCAATTTTATATATTTTTTAAATGTACGTTATTTTTAAATGAATAATTAATATCAGACCTTAATTTCTTATTAAGAATTAAATTTAATTACTTCGTAATTATTTTGTGGTAAAGAAATCATCGTCGTAATCATCATCAGCAATTTTTTTGTGTAATTAACTTTTATAGGCATCACTTGTATAGTGACTGAACTAAACTTTGTTAGTATGTTTAGCAAGAGAATGTGTCCCGTCCACAGAGTTTCATCCGAGCGTGCTTGGCGTACCGCAAGGAGGAGCGCATCGACGTGTTCGGTCTGGCGCGGCACGAGTACCTGCAGCCGCCGATGCCGAAGCCGCGCGGGGCGGGCGCGCCGGCGGCGGCGGCGGCGCCGGCGGCGTTCAGCGCGAACATGTTCGGCGCGGGGTCGTCGTCCTAGCCGCGCCGCCGCCGCCCGGCCCGGCCGCGCCCGTGTACATAGTGCCCAGTGCGGCGTCAACGGCGCGGCTCCCGGCGGCGTCCAGCGCGAGCGTGACCGGCGCGGGGCCGTCGGCCCGGCCGCGCCCGTGTACATAGTGCCCCGTGCGGCGTCGACGGCGCGGACGGCGCGGCGCCCGGCGGCGAACGCCGGCTGCCTCGGCCCCGGTCCCCGACGGCGAGCTCGGCTCCCGTAGACGTACTTTTTAGTTTCCAAACTTTGTCAGTTAATATCCACAGTTGTAAAATGACTAAGTATCATTTACAGATTAAAATTGTTTAAGATTATGCTTACTGTTGACTGTATTTATTGAGCGGGTGATAAAATGTGATTCTCCATTTATGAATGGTTTCATCCTTTTATCACTAGAGAAAAATAAAACTTGGGACTATCCCTTGCATATTATATAAGTTATCCATATTAAAAAAAAATTAAAAATAACGCTGTCGTTTCTTTTTTATCCAACATGGGTAGATCGTTCGAATTGTATAAATTTGTTGAAAACAGTACAGAGAAATAATTAGAAAGATATGGAATAAGTAATTAATGGTGTTATATTTTTCATCACAAACAAACTTAATAGTCACGCAGTTAACCATACAAAAATTATTCTTCGTTTCGAGTAACAGTTGTTATTCGTTTGTTTAAATTAAATTAAAATTAAATTGTTTAGTTGCAACGTTCTTTAATTGTTTTAAGTTTGCGGCGAAAAGATATATTACGTGCACAATAAAGTAAGATGTTTCATACAAAAATCATGACTTACGCACGCTGTTATTTTCTATCGGCTGGCAGTAAGATTATTGATAAACATTTAGTTTTCCGAATGCATTTTATCAACAGTACGTCGTGATTCATATTGCATTATTATTATACATTAAAATTATTTAAATTTAATAAAAGTTTACTAGGTATTTAGTTATTTCCTTATTAATTATTGACAGTACTTAATTGCCTTATAAAATTTATACAAATATCTATGAATTATTAAGAAAGTAGTAAAAGATTGTAGAATGATGAAGACGATTGTTGGGTTTGTTAAATATTGCATTAATTACTCGTTGATCAAAACTGTCACATTAAAAGTTGTATATTTTTTATTTAATATGTTCCACACATAAGTTACAAATTACATGTAGTCTGTTTTTTAATCCCGGAGACAAATTTGACAGTAAGATGTGGGCAAGCTTTTTCATTTTTAAATAGGGTTGTGGCAGTATCGGAAATCAATATTAATTACCTAATTATATAGGTTACTTAGAAATAATGTGTGGGTGTTTAGTTAAAACGCATTAAGATAAAATTAAGAAAGATAATAAAATAAAAACAACCATATATTTATATCTATAATATTAATAAATATAATATATGGTTGCATCAAAATAGATTTTCATATTTTTCGTTAAAATAAAGACCAACGGTCTTTTTTTATAAAACAAATGACCTCATACGCCATGAGGTCCAAAGGACCATATATTATAAAACACTATTTAAAATATTTGTTTAAAAGAAAAAAAATGTCGGTTTGTAGCATAATACTGTAAAAAATTACTATTTCTTCGTACAAATAGTAATTTCAATACCAAAATATCTATTATAATGAACAACCTTATATATATTATTACCTATACATTATTAATTTAATATTAAATTCTGTTAGTGCCACAATTCTTTTTAAAAACTACAAAAAGCTAACTATAAACATAGGTAATGTCAAATTAGTCTCCGGGATTAAAAAACAGACTGTCAAAAGAAGAGAAAAAAAAACAGACTACTTATCAGAATTTGACTAATTATGAATGGTATTGTTGGAAGCGTTTTTATAGACTGCTAGTTATAGGCCTTATGACTACATTAAATTGAATATGGATGGCGCCTTTAGAGAACGTAAAAATATATAACTATAAACAATGTTTTATAATACCGTGTTGTATATCATGTGATAATTTATACTTCTATTACATAATTATTTTAAATAGCGATAAATATTTCGTCATCATGAATCACTAATTGTAAGACTAGCGACAGAGTAAAGTAAATCACTTCCAAAAATCATAGCTATGATAATTATAGATGTATTACTAAATTGTGATTATAAAATTAATATTGTTTTGGCAAAAATTAAAATATCGATAAAAAACTATATTTTTTAATTTATCGACTTGAATATCAAACTTGATCCAAAACGTGCAGCCATTTTGATTTTGAAGTATAGAGAATATTAGAGAATTGCAGTGTGTAGTAAAAAAATGGATCTATGAAATATATATAATAGGAACTAAAATACATAATTTTATTTTCTTGTAAATTTAACTTAATCTTTTTATTTTAATGTAAATATAAAATACATATTAGTTTTCAAAGTGTATTTAAATTCTAGAATGCAATAACGTTTTGAGTCACAAGAGAAAATAGTTATTTAGTTTGTAATTAACGATTAATTCGCATTTTCAAAATAATTTTATAATTCTTAACTTATGCTGTATTTTAACTAGCCTTGCGTTGCATTTAGAGACGACGTTTTTTGGAGTGTTTTATTAAGAATTACCTAATCTTAAATTATAACGTTTTAGGTTTTTTAACAAACTTCTAAAAAACAATTTTAGAGAGACAGAAACAATTTTACAGAGTTTACAATTTTATATTATATAGTACATATTATAAGTTGAAATAACAATTAGTCCAATAAATTTTCAATTTAAACCAGGATGTGACCAGTTTTGGCGCAATATATAAAAATAAGTCTGCAAATACTTGAATAATAATATTCAGAAAGAAATTTTTATTTAAGTTGTCGGGAAAGTGATGAAGGAATTAAAAAAATGGCTGAAAATTAAAACCCCATTTTTCAATATGACTTGATAACGATAAGAAATATATCAAAACGTTTCAAATAAATGTTGTAGAGGATAACAATCTGCACAAAAAAGGTCATTTTAATTTTTTCATTATCTGCTGTTTAGTCTAATTAGGACAATACTTATCACCTTCAATTCTTCATTATCAACCTTGGACATCGGCCGCCCACGGAGCTTGTTTTCCAGGTCGAAATTTTCAGAACAAAAACGTTAGAACCAAAAACGCATTATGTTTTTTTTTGGCGACACCACCGCCATACACATCATTAATCCTCCGAGCCGTTTCTGCAGCACTGGTGCCACGGCGTCGCGGCGGAACTCGTAGTCATAAATAACACGATATTTTAAGTTTTCCATTTTGTATACTGAGTGACGCAAAGAAAAACCAAAGATTAAAAAGGATGGATTACGGTTTTCGAAAATCAAATGCATGAGTAAATATCGCTATATAAATTTGAAATTGGAATTCCTAACCAAAGAGGAGATATTTGAAATCAAAGTGGCCAGTACGACAAAACGCCAATTTCAAAAATAAATACCTAATAATTAGATTCTCCGTATGTTTTAATATATTTCTCAATCGTGGAATTATCCAAATATGTACACCTATTGAATTATTTAATTCATTAGAAACTATTCGAAGCCCATTAAACGAAGAGAGTGTACATACATAAGTATAAATGTATATCCATATAGTATATACAGTATAATAAAATCCTGTCTGATCTGACCCGGGATAGTCATCGTTTAAGGATGAAAAATTGTCGGAGGCATTCTTGTGTGTAGACGTGATTTTTTTTTAATAACATTCGACGTGTAGGTAGATTTCAAAAATAAATTTTCATGTTTCAGTTTCATGTTTTATTCTTTTCAGTGACAGGAGGACAAGGCTAACAAAAGCTTTTCGGATTAATTTTGTTTGTTATAGGTGTTTCCACCTTGCAACATTCTGTCATATAAATCGACAAAATTTTTTTATGTGTCGACCGTATTCGAAGTTTCTTCTATTGGGATTTAATTTGAGGTACGAAACCACTCATCTGTAACACTGTCTACCACAATACACTTACATGGAAATTGGCGATAGAAATAGGGGACAGTGATACTCATACCTACATTGTTGAATTTTCTGATACAATGCTGGAGTACAGATCGTAAGTGTACCTACAGAAATAAATAAAAACCGTAGTCGTTTTCGAAATTAAAAATGTATGTCATATAAGTAAAATTTCTAATCCTGTTTGACATGGAAAATAATGTTTAACATTTGCGTTCATTATGAATATGTTTAATTGGGATGACGATAGTGCAATAGAACTGACGTTTACCTATATCACAGATAACATAATATTACATACCTATATTGACATCGCTGTACTCCAGCCAGCAACTGTGATCACAGCTGTTTTAAAATACCAGAGTCTGTTATAAATCTGCCAGAAAAAAGATTTATATGTCAAATAAAACACTTCCTTTGCAAAAAAGCTTACTATAAAATTGAAGAATTCGTTAACGATAATAATGTTTTTGTAGAAAAATTTTAAATACATAGCACTGACAATATTATCTGATTACACTAATAATGAGTGCGTAGCGATTTCTATGTTGATTGTCGCATGCCTCTTACTTGTTACACTGTAATTATTTATGTAAAAAAACATCTATTAAAAAGAGCAACACACAAGTTTCTTGCTCATTCTTCTTGTGATGATGAATCTGCATTCCGAATGAGTGGTAGTATCAAAATATGACTATTCAAAAGTGCTTGTAATGAGTTTATTTGAATAAAGATTATTTCTATTTCTATTTCTATTTCTATTTAAACGTAATATGGCTATTTTAAAAGTTGCATCCCGAGAAGATGTGGTATAAATGCATAAGAAATGCAACAATAATATACTGAATAGTCTATATTTGTTATATAAATGGCTTATATAGAGCAGGTAGATAAAAATAGGTAATTGATGATTTTTATGTTTCAAATTAGTAGGCAATTGAACCTTTTACTACTTTTACTTAACATTACTTATTACGTTGAAAAAAAAAATATGTAAGACTTTCGATGAGGATGTGCCTTATGGATTGGCATATTTCAACGCTATTTGAAAAAAAATACAA